TGCCTGAACCCAGGAGGCGGAGGTTGCGGTGAGCCGAGATCGCGCCATTGCACTCCAGCCTGGGTAACAAGAGCGAAACTCTGTCTCAGAAAAAAAAAAAAAAATTGTTTTATTTATTTATTTTTGCCCCTCATTAAGGTTTGTAATGGCTTTACACAGATTTACAAAGAGTGTTGTGTCTACCCTTTTTAATTGTTCTCAGTAGGAGGACTGGGCCACTGGAAGAGAAGGCTCCTGATATCCCCGTCTGGTCTCAGTGATTTGAAATACCACCTTTATCAAATATGACCTTGCGGCCAGCATCTGCAGCTTGCAGGATCAGATAGGCAGTGCCTTTTTTATTTTGCTGATGAGTTGCTGGAGCCCCTGTGTACCTGTCTCAGCAGCAAGTTCAGCCTTTCCTTCTGAGTGCCCCCCACCGCTGCTGTGTAAGAGCCAAGGGTTTTCTTTCCCCAGGGCAGTGAGTCCTTCTGTGGCTGGCCGGCTGAAGAGGGAGAATCGCGTCTACCAGTAGGCCTGGCTCTCAGATCTTGTGGTTTCTGTGGCTGTGCAGTGGCTCAAACCTGTCTCCTGAGTTTAGCTGTCCTCAGCTGTGGTCAGGCGCTGGCCTGGCCAGACCCCTGCACAAATGCCCTTGCTGTGTGTACGTTATAACTTCGACTCCTGCACTGGGCCCTCACTCCCCAGGCCTGGCCTCGCAGGGTGTCTGCAGCAGCCTCACGCCCACAGGGCCAGCACTCCTGCCGCCACCTGCAGACCCGCCCCCTCTTTATTCACAGCAGGTCTCTCCAATTCCTGTTAAATGCCCCATTTTATACGTTTTTTTGTGTTCCCTTTACTATTCTAAAATGCAATTCATAGATAATGTAGCCTTCCTACCCCCATAATTAAACAAACATGTAATATCCAAACTAATATAAAGGAGACGTGAAATGAAAGTAACTTACATATTTAAGTACAAGTTCTGTCGGACAGGCTCAGGCACAGCCACACCAGAAAACAAAATTCAGGAGCTCACCCCATACAAACAACTCCTGTGAGTGTGACAGCTGAGACTGCAAACTGAGGAGACGCTGGGTCTCAGATGCTGTTAGCAGGCTTCCCGTGTTTTTCCTGAGGCAGCCGGTGTCGCTGACATGGAATGAAGTACAACTTTCTTCCTGTGCAGAGCGGTAACATATCAGTTGCATTCCTGAAAATCCACTGGATGTTGAAACTATGCAGTTGAAAATCAGGCTTATTTATAAGCTGGAGTCAGGTTCTGGGCTCAGGAAAACAGGTCTTCTCTCCTGCCTGAGTGACAGTGTGCATTTGGAAGTGATGCAGGTCGGTGGGTGATGTGCTGATGTTGTAACGAGGTTCCAGGTGGCACGTCTCAGACAAGCACGAACGCCCTGTCCTGACACGCAGGAACTGCAGACGGATCGAGCTCAGTTCTTCGTTGTGTGATCCTGGCTAGTGCCATTCCTGGCTCCGGTCTTCTGGATGCCAGTGGCTCTTCCTTTTTTTGTGATGACTAGAAATACCCCACAAATTTCAGAATACCTCTTAAGGTGGTAGAAAGATTCCCCTGAGAACCTCCCTTTAGAAAAATGTTCACAGATGGGCTGGGTGTAGTGGCTCATGCCTACAATCCCAGCACTTTGGGAGGCCGAGGCGGGCAGATCAGGAGGTCAGGAGATTGAGACTGTCCTGGCCAACATGGTGAAACTCTATCTCTACTAAAATACGAAAATTAGATAGGCGTGATGGTGCACCCTGTAGTCCCAGCTACTCGGGAGGCTGAGGCAGGAGAATCTCTTGAACCCAGGAGGTGGAGGTTGCAGTGAGTCGAGATCACACCACTGCACTCTAGCTTGGTGACAGAGCAAGACTCCGTCTCAAAAATAAAATGAAATGAAAAATGTTCATAGAGGAGAACCACTAAAGGGCCCCTTTGTGTCTAGTCTTTCTTTTTTTCTAGTTTCATCGGTTATCAAAATAATCTTTTGCTGTTTTTAATTTTTTCTTTTTCTTTCCTTTTTAAAATAGATATGGCATCTTGCTGCTTGCCCAGGCTGGTCTTAAACTCCTGGGCTCAAGTGATCCTCCTGACTCAGCCTCTGGAGTAGCTGGGACTACAGGTGCACACCACTGTGCCCCACTTAAAAATAATCTTTCTAATGCATCTTTGCTGATATCTTTCTTTGCTTAGAAACCTTCAGTGCTGACTGGTGCTCAGAAAAAGCCCTGAACTGAGGCAGGCGCACACAATCCTGCCCAGGCGGCCTGTAGTGGCCTCCACCCATGCCAGTCACTTCAGCTCACATTCCCGCTGCCTTGTGCTGGAGGCCCTTCCCCTGCCTGCAATGGAAGCTGCCAGTCTCTCACTCCCAGGTCAGATGTCCCCTCCTGCGGGACAGCTGGCAGTAGATGCCCCTCCTCCTGGCTGCCCATGGCATTTTGTGAAACCTGTCTCTTCTGTTGTTAGTTTCAGCCTGGCATTGGTGCTTCCTGGGTTTGTCTTATCTTTTTTACGAAGCCGTTAGATCCCTGGCGATCTTCTTAGCCTCCTTGGATAACACGAGTCTTCGCACGCGTGCGGTACTCAGGAGGTGTTGCTGGTGCATGGCCTCTCCCCTCTGGAGATCACTCAGTCTCTGAAACCCTGGAGGAGCCAGTCTGCCTCTGCCAACCGTAGCTGAGCATGGACAGAATACTGAGCACGTGCTGGTCTGCAGTAGATTCTCAGGGCACCCTGCGTGTGCTCAGCTGAGGGGTCCCAGGAAGAGAATGGGCATCTCTGGAAGGTTTCATTCTTGGCCAAGTTGTCTGTGGCAGAAACATTTGTGTTTTCCCCAGCTGATGTGTGTGAGACCGAGTGAGAAAGGCAATGCAGGGCTCCAGAGACGGCGAGGACTTGCTATCTCAGCCACTTCTACCCAAAAGAGGGAGAAACCCCTCAGGTCACTTCAGCTGCTGCACTAGTAAACGTGAGTGTGCGGTGTGGGGCAGGCATCCTGCCGCCCTCCCGGGGCTCTGGGGCAGCTGGACATGAAAGCAGAGGCTCCTGGGGCGGCCTCAGCTCTCAGCACCTCCCTGGGGTGTTGGCCCCTGCTCTGCCAGTGTCCCTGCGTGTCCAGTGGCACTGAAGTGGTGGCTGTGATTATGCGGGCACCTTGGGGAGACAGCTGAAAGCACAGGAGGAAAGCAAGCACACTGGAGACTGTTGAGAGCATTGTTATGGCTCCGTTTTCCTTTCTCAGGTCTAGGTGTTAGCAGTGGATTTAGGCAGCAGTTTCGTTAATTGGTATAGACCAGCAAGTCTCAAACTTTGTGACATGGAGGGTTTGCTAACTCAGGTTTACTGGGCCACACCCCCACCAACCCAAGCAAAGTTTCTGACTGAGTAGGTCCAGGGTTGGACCCCAAGGATTTGCGTTTCTAATAAGCTCCCACCTCATGCTTTCAAAAGTTGCTGTCTGCGGTGGGTAGGGGGTGGGGAGTGGAGGGGGATGAGGACCCACCTTGAGAACCACTGGTATGAGCAGTAATTTTTCTTACAGGAAAAAGTGAATATTTACTAAGAATACTGTTTCACTTGAATTTATTAGATGTCATTAATGTTGAATGTTATCGCTCAGATGCTGTATTTTTTTATTTTAAATTTTATATTTTATAGAAATAAAAGAAGAGCTTGAAGATCTGAACAAAGAAATCAAGAAAACTGCGAATAAAATTCGAGCTAAGTTAAAGTGTAAGTTTAAAGTTTTATGTTTAGTTATTGATGTTGGGAGTATGGGTATTTGTTATTTTATTCTTTATTGGTTTTTGTTCTTTTACATTTTTAAAGATTAAAACTGTGATTTCTTTAAAATAAATTGTGTGTAATTCAGACTATTCATATTCAAAAAGATAATGGTTTGCTTATAAACTGTTACACTGTTAGGTTTTTTGTGACATTTCAGGCTAACTTGCAGATGTTGGGAAGGTGCATTGCCAGGCTTTTTGTGAATGGACCCTTTAACTGCTCAGTTTTTTCAGGCTTTCAGGAGAATTGGTTTCATGATGTTTGGCATTCCGCTGTAGCAGCAGTAGTTTTTGGGAGGCTTATGGCTTTTGCATGGGACTTAAACAGAGGTTTTTTTTTGTTTGTTTGTTTGTTTGTTTGTTTTGTAGAACAGATTGTATTTGATTTTTGCAGAATGGCATCAAGATAAAAAACGGTCTCTGTGCAGATGATAAAGTACTTTTATTACGGCAAGTTTCAGATGTGTGCAGAAGCAGAGAGAGGCGACCACAGTTCGAGCCCCCCAGCTCCGCAGTTCTCCATGAGCACCCCCCCCAACACCCGCTCCTAGACCATGAAGCCATCCCAGGCATCTGAGATTTCATCAGTGTGTATTTCAAAAACAGAAGCTTCCCTAAAAGCACAACCACAATTATATCTAAACCAAATTCATTGTAATTACTTAATATCACAAAATATCCAGGCAGAGTTTATATTTATATTTATAGTTATATCCAGTGGTCTTGTGATTTGTTTTTTTTAACAGTTTGCTTGAATTGAGTCCCAGATAAGGACCAAACTCAGGCTTTTAAAAATGAGATTCATCTTTTTTCCGCCTGGCACTGTTTTGCTTTGGTTGGTGAAGCCGGGTCATATGTCCTGCAGAACCTGCCACACTGCAGATGTTGCTGGTTTTACCCCTGCAGCGTGTTTCATAGGCTCTGCCGTCCTCTGAATTTGCTGTAGGTTGGTAAGTAAATTCTCCAACCTTCATCTGACTCAGGTGTTTTTTATGGGTTTTTAAAAGGTAAAGACGCAGCATCTGATTACAGATTTTACGTCCTCATGGTTAGTTAAGATGTTAGTGGGGACATTAACATTTTTTCTTGGCTCTAAATAATTTCAGTAAAGTTTTAAATAAGATACAGCGTTCTTTCCCATTCTGTGGTATTGTCAAAAATGGATGATTATTTCCAAGATCCATAATTAATTAGAAGTTGCAAGCAGTAAAATTTTTTTTTTGAGACAGAGTCACCCAGGCTAGAGTGCAGTGGCACAATCCTGACTCACTCACTGCAGCCTCTGCCTCTCAGGTTCAAGCGACTCTCTGCCTTAGCCTCCCAAGCAGCTGGGACAACAGGTGCGTGCCACCACGCCCTGCTAGTTTTTGTATTTTTAGTAGAGACAGGATTTCGTCATGTTGGCCAGGCTGGTCTCAAACTCCTGACCTCAAATAATCTGCCCATCTCAGCCTCCCAAAGTGCTGGGATTACAAGTGTGAATATTCTGATTTTATTATTCCTTCTTTGTTTAGTTGCTGCCCTCTCCCCTTCAACTCTTGAATTGGATAAAGTTTGGAGACTTTAACTACCAGCCCACAGCAAATACAGAGGCCAGCAGAGCCTATTAGGTGTGTCACAGGGTGAAATCAGCAGAATGTGGAGCGTGGGAGGTCCTGGGGGACAAATGACCTGGCTTCTCCAGCCAAGGGAGCCAAAGGGCATACTGGGGCACAGATCACAGAGGACAGAGAGGATCAGCATTGGACTCTCTCTGGTACAACTTTCATAGGTCGGGTCCCTGGAGTCCTCCAGAGATGACCAGGGAGACTCTGTTGTTGGTTCTTGTCCATCATCGTGAACACCTGGATGTAAACGTGTCTGATGTTTTCACTACCACGTTATCCTTCATGCTCAGATGGTCTCTCTGGCTGGTGAGGTGGACTGTGGAGTTCTTCCAACAGGCCCTTGTCGTCTCTGACGGCCTTTCTGCCTTCTGCTGTGACAAAATGACCCATTGCTCTTTTCACCCCTTTCCTGCCCCGGGCCTGGGATCAGCCGTCCCCAGGAGCCCCGCTCCTGTGACTGAAGAATGTTATCTAGACACCAAGGTGGGCATGCTGGGGGATGTGCTGCCATACATGACAATGACCTGACCACTCTTTCCTAGGCTTTTTCAGTGGGCAGGGCTAAGATGCTTTTAAAAGATAAAATGAATCATGATTTCTTATTGACACTCCGAATGAAGAAGAAAGGAGGATTAAAAACATTTTGAAAGAATTTTTACTTAATATGGGCGATATTACATCTTTATTCCTTTCAGCTATGCCCCAAATTCTGGTTCTCACGGACACATAATTATTCACTTGCTATCCACAGTACACATACAACAGAGTCAACATAATTATGCCAGCACCTATTGTCAAGAGTATGATTACTTAAAAGTTGTTTTTTTGTCATTCTTTTTGTCTGTAGGTATATCCCACTGGGCTATATAATCAAATTACTTTTTCTTGTTGTTGTCTGACCCGAGGTCTTGCTGTGTTGGCCAGGCCGGAGTGCAGTGACTGTTCACCAGCGTGATCATAGTGCACGACAGCCTCGGACTTCTAGGCTCAAGGGACCCCTCAGCAGTTGTGACCATAGCACGTGCTGCT